GAGACATCTTGTGTCCAGCAGCAAAACTTTAGAAATCAACAACATTTACATATTCACAGATTATTAAAATCTTAAGGAGTAGATTCCTTTTTACGGATTTTAATGTGGAAATTCCACTTTTTTTTTCAAGTACACAAGAAAATTGTGCCATAAAATGGAAATAGTCAAGTTATTCAAAACTCAACACAGTATGTGAAGAAAATGTGCTACATAGCTACATAGATTAAAGCCTCATATACATGTAACATACACATGCACATTTGAACATTTAAAGCTGCAGTAAGTAACTTTTATAGAAAAACTATTTGCTAAAACTTTGACTATATCCTGACAGTAGTATATTAGACATATAATCTGTCTGGCTCCTCCTAGTGCTCCAAATGGCATTTGCAAGAATTCACTGGACCTTACCCATGAACAGTATATATAATGGACAGAGCTTCCAGGTCAGTGAAGGGAAGCCAACGCTGAAGTGTCTTAAACCTGCATTCTATGTAAAGACCAGCAGGGGGAGCGCCACTGGCTGCAATTAAAAACTATACCATGCAGTCTTATGGAGAAATGAGCCAACTTCTCACTTGATTTCAAGACTTCTTCCATACAGCATGATGTTCATTTAGTAAATGATGGTCCCATTTAGAGTAAAATAGACCATAAAGCAATGTATGCTTTAGGCGGGGCTACCTATTATTGACAAGTCATTCCTGCCCATGAGTCTGCTGTCCAGCTGCCAGCGCACCGCAAAACTCCCAATCAAACTGTCCAAGGACTAGGCTATGTGCTGATTCAGAATATCGAACCAATTCTGTTAGCCTTGTTTAGTTTGCCGTTCAACCTATTTCTCCTAATTGTGGTGAACAGGTGAATGCCCCACCCAATTGTCTTCCTGCTCCTGGACCCTTAGTCAACCCAACTGTGCAGCCCCCAATTGAGAGCCACTCAACCCACAGTATGGTCACGATCAGCTGCTCGTCCAACAAACTGTCATGGCGACGACCATAACGCCAAACTTGAGGCTTCAAAGCAGCACTCCAAAAACCAGTGGGTGATGTCACGATAGGTTCAGACTTGGCCTGAAAGAAAACAACCAATCAGAGCTGAGAAAGATAGTTGATTGTTGAGTCTATAGTCTGTATTTGGTGCCTTGGGAATGAGACTCAACAATCAACTATCTTTCTCCGCTCTGATTGGTTGTTTTCTTTCAGGCCCCGTGGATTCTTGCAAATCCCATTAGGAGCACTAGGAGGAGCCAGAGGAACCTGATTTTTACACAGATTGTCTGTCTCATGTTCTACTTTCAGAACACAGTGAAGATTTCAGCAGTAATGTCAAAAAGTTATTTTCATAAAAGTTACCTACTGCAGCTTTAAGCTTTCTCTAGGTGCCTGTAATACTGAAATTACTACCAAAAACCCTGCCTGTAGCGGGAGATCAGCAAATGGTCATTTTGAATCATGCATGGTCATTTATTACAGCACAGTCACAGGTAACTGCTACATACATCCCCTCCCAAACACACACACACACACACACACACCACACCTTCCATCCATGTCTCCTCATACACATACTGCTCATCATACAGGCCCCAACGTCTGAAACCAATCTGATACCCAGAGGACACTTCAAATGAAAACTTCCGTCACTGTGATTTGTCTGGGCAAACAAAGCCAGACTGACTGTTACCTATCCGCCTCACACAACCTGAGCAGCTTCCAGGCCATACATTCACTTCATTGACATCCCATATCGGTAAACGTGCGTCACGAAGTCCGCTGCCTCAACACGCTCGAGACCCAGCTCATCAATAACTAAACACACACAGGACACAAAATGACTCTCAATGCGGACGACTGTGTCTGACTGCCTCAAGTCTAACGAATAGAAGGGAATACGAGCAACTGGCTGGACTCGAATACGCACTATATCGGCCGGTGTGAACAGTAACATTGGGAGACAGCAGAACAGTATTTGTTGCGGGTAAAAGCAGGTTACAGTAAGCAACAATTGAACGTTAGCAAGCTAATGTGACTGACTTCCCCCTAATTTTCTCGTTTTGTTTTTGGTCTGGTTGCGAGAGCAGGAGTGAGAAAGGATTGAGATAAATTCTACTTACACATCAGCCGGAGTGGAGAGGAGAACTTGGACAGAAAGACTGCTGAGCTATCCGACAATTGCCTGAAGTGTTGTAACGTTACTCAGATAGCTCTACGTGTTGGTGGTATTTGTGTTTATAACGCTTTGTATTAGCCCCGTGCTCTGTCTTCATAGGCGCTATGTTTTTGTGAATTCCCGTAATGTAGTGAGCTAACGTTTATTTCTCATATGTAGCGCTGCGCTAGCTTGATGTTTCTCAGTTGTTTTATCCTTTTATCAGCCTCACTGTCTCCTCGTGCATCCTGTCCGTTCCTCTCGCGCACACCACAATAACAATAGAGGGGAGACGTCGTGCGCGTCAGTGTCTCGACATGCTCTAGCCAATGGGCGCACGGTTCTCACAGGGGCTGCCGCTCTCGGCCAATCAGGTAGCGGTTCTCACAGCAGGGCTGCGAGCCAGGGTCTGTCTGGTTCGCCCAGATTGACAGGTCCGCGAGACTGTTTTTTTAAGGTGGCGCCGCTGAGATTAGCGCCCCCCCCAACACACACACACACACACACACAACTGCAACTGTTATTTGAGCAACACTCGACTCTCTTCCATGGTCAGAGTTAACATGCTTAAGAAAACTATTACTGGTTCAGTGTTTTACCCACTGGTACACGGTGACCCCTCGTCCTCAATTAAAGTGTTAATGAAATAAATGTATTAGTTCATCCTTACGTAATTTACAAATTTGAGACAAACAAGGAGTTTTGCTTTGCCTTCCCTCAGGTTGTGTGGTATAACCAGTGGTGTAGTGGTGGCCGGAGAAGTGTGTATATTCTAAATTTATGTCCCATTTTTTTAAAAGCAGCCCACCAAGCAAAGGATAACAGAAGTTATCTCAGGACACTTTTCAAATAGAGCAGGTCTAGACCGAACTCCTTATAAAATTAATT